GGTTTATTTTGTTTCAGAATAAAGAGAAGTTTCTGCTAAAGATTTTGGAATTTCGGACAATCCTCTTTTCAGCTGTCAACCTCCATTAAGGACCATCAATCGGATGTCCCAAGGTTATAGCCGCTTAATGAAGATTTATTGTCAAATTGTGCTTGCATAATATATAGATTTAGCTCTAGCTCTTTCTCTACTGTCCACAATAGTGTAAACATAAAAAGACACGACTTTGTTGTTGTTTTTTCTTTCTAAAAGTCCGGGCGGCCGTGTGATTTCCTTCCAAATAAAACCTTGAGTTGCATTTGGGCTACCACACCTGCTGATGAGTTATTTTAAATTGGTATGCCTGTGTCGCGGACGGACGGTCGCTCGCTCGGTGTACGGTCACGTGATTAACAAATTTTCTCGGATTGGTAGATTACCACAATTCCTTAGCTATGGGGCTCCGCGCGTGGAGCTCTGCTGTTAGCTTACTGTGAGTTTTCAACCCGGAGTTTTGCCTGTTTAATAAAGGAATGCAGTACTAAGGTGAAAGCTAATGCTTGCTCCCTTTTTGAGCGACACAACCATTAATTCATCCAGACTACAATTGTTATAATATGAGCGTGTATAATGAGTATACATGTAGTCTTATACAATTCGCAAACTTCATTTAAATAGTAACAAAAGCCACACATTATTTAAAATAATTGCATCTTCCTCCTAGCTATATTTTTCGTTCTAGCAAAAACAAATATAAATTATTAACAGCAAACTGCTTTTTAATTAACAAATAAGGCGTCCCTTGACTGTTCTCTGTTCTGTTGTAACTGAATCACGCCGAAAGCGGCTAGAGTAAGAAAGAAGTGTAGGGGTAAACACGAGATGTAGTCGAAAAGAGCTCAGTCAAGGCTTCGTTATATATTTGTTTCATGATAAAGAATCCTTTAAATTCCCCACGCATTGCTTTCTAATTTTCAAAACAAACTATTGGCAGATGAAGTGACAGTTTTAGCTCCGTTTTTTATACTCTCAAGCTCGCATAAAGCACTTTTCTTCAACCAATCAGAGAGCGCGTTATAGCTGGACTAAGTTCTAATTGTTTATTAATAAAAACAAATTTACAGCAACTGTGGAAGCACAGGTGGCGTCAGTGAAACGGAACATTGGCAAGGTTACCGTGGCTTTCAATAACACGTCAAGATCAAAACTCAACTATCGTTTGCGTCTTCTTCTGTTGTCAATCAACTCAGTTAGCAAGAAAGATTAAGAAGAAGTTTACTTCCATGAATTAAAACCGAAAAGGCCATTGTTTGTGATGAGTGATAAGTGCTTTCAATCAATTTTGTGAGTTTCTATGTTTCAAGGTTTGTTGCATGTGATCGTAGTTGTGATTGACAGTAGCGAAAACGTGATTCGGATAAGTTGGCTTTTAAACTTCATAGTTCGCGTCTTCTGAATGGTTTTAAATTGCCCTAATGGGACCAAGCCTACGACAGACGCATCAAGTCATTTAAACTTTTCGATGTCTTAGGACCATATGATTAGAAAGATAACTACTTTTGCCTCCCACCTCTTGTAAGCGACCACCTATCCACAACACGAAATTTTTCCCAGTCAAAACCTTACACTTGGAACCTCTATACGACCACCTCCTGTAAGCGATCACGCCCCGCTTTTTTAGGCTGTCGTTTTAATAACTTCCCACTGTTTTTAACCTCTTGTAAACGATCACCTCACGCATTGTCTGACCACTATGTTCACTGTGTGTACTATGCTATTTAGAATATACGAAGAATTTAGGCAAACACATGCAACTACGCATATCGTAGCTTAGAAATTACACGCAACAAAATAAATTATATATCTTCTATAATAAAAATATAGATGTGTCTGGACTATCTTCTCAGGAAAGACCCGCCGTGGATATTTTCTCGCAAGTGACCTCCCGCAAGTCGTCTCATTTTGGGCGGTTGCTTTACGGAAGGTTCGACTGTTATTTGTAGTGTGTAAAGGTCAAATGGTGAAAAGAAGTATAGTACGTACAAGGTTAGGACGGGCCGTGGTCTGTTAGGATGCACCGGTTTTGGTTCAGTTTGTTTGAAATTGTCGTTCTTTTGTGGTTCGTTGCTCATTACTACGCACTGTTCAATGTCTTATACTGGGTAGCTTGTGGTTAAACTGATGCACAATTTGAACTGAGTCTTTTTAACATGTTTAAAACTGTTGAAGGTGAAACCTGGAGGTGATCTTGTAGACTTTCCTCGAGTCTAGCTCAGAGATTGAAGAGAAGTTCCAGAAATCTACATCTATAGATACTGGTGTATTCTCTTCAACTAGCATTTTTAATGTTATGATCAAGCAAGAGGGGGTCCTGAGTCAACAGGCTGTTGAAATTAAGGCAAAAGAAAAATGACTGTATTTAACTTAGAGGATTTGCATTTTCCCCGGTCGAGTCGCACTTCTATCATTCCTAAATAAATCTATTAAAAGAAAAGGTTCAGATTAAGGTATATTCTTTGAAAAAAGTTCTCTTAATCCCATTCAGGTGAGTTTTTCTTTCACTCAAAGTAAGCAAACAATATGAAGATAAGGCCAAAGCAAAGCTCTTGAAGATTCTTTCTTTTTGAAATAATTCAGCATTCGCTATATTACAAAGCAAGAAACAAACTCGAAAATGGACCTAAAATAAAGTAAAAACCAACAACTAGTCAGCGGAGAACTTTAATTGCAATTAAGGTTGTTGGGCTTCGATACGAAGAATTGTTGGCATAATTTGAGGAGGAGACTGTTCTTTCAGCGATTCGCAGTGATACTGATCGGTTGTTGTGTTGTCTAATCGTAGAGCATCTATACGATTCAGGAATCTCACTTCCACTTTTCCTGTTAATGTCTGATGATGTTAAGGTGAAGTGTTATTTGACTATAGCCTCTTTAACTCTACGAGACACGAGAGTACCAGTGATGGTCTCGGTCAATAAACTTATCCTATTCCCAAACTGGATAGTACCCGGTATTATTGCTGGCGTGTTCAGTAACGGCTGAGAGTTGAGTTCCTGATGCCGACAAATTTCCCATAGTACAATTTAAGTGTCTTATTCCCATTTCATCATAGTCTCGTCCCCTTTTCCTGTGACATATGCTATTAAAGCTATTCAAAAGTCATGATTACAGATAACACCACAGGTATAATCATGTTCAAATAGTAAGTTTATTGAATACTCTAAATTGGTTTACTTTACTAACACAGACATTTTAGAAAATCTAGAAAACAGTTAACAAGTGCTATAACGGTTAAGGTGTACAAAACAGCATGATCTTGGCTTCATTTTACATACTCTGTAATTATTTTCTCAATAGCCACATACGTATCAGACGGCAAAACAGCTCGTATTTTTGCTGAGGTTAAGAGCGCGCGAGCAGTTAAACGAAAAGTCTGGAGCGAGCGGGTGAAAACGGGGAGTGAGACTGGGACTATTAGGGCATGTGAGGTTCGCGCATTTCGCGAAAATCTCACACTGCTCCTTCGCGTCTTTGCAAAACCGATTACGACAAAACAAACCCGACTGTTTTCCAGTCTACATACGTAGAAGTGCTTCAGAAAGTAAAAAGACGTAATTTACACAGAAACTGTGAATAACAACAAGAGCTTTAATAACAACTAATTCTGAATATAAATGTACAAGTCTATATAGGCCATTTCCGAGTTGCTCCAAGCCTCTGTTTCAGAGCGAAATGATTTGGATGAAAATGATTTGTTATTCTCATGCACGCTAAACTCATTATCGCAAAAATAAGTTTAATTTAAGCATTGCTAGCTGGAAAAATGAGAGCTTTGGAACTTGGAAATTGCCGTTTATGAAGCATACTTTATGCTGATTAAAAATGTCAAGAAAAGATTCTAGGTGAATAATGGATTTAACTCATTGTCTCCTTCAGGTTTGTTTGAAGTAAATTGACCATGTAACCTTGAAAAAAGTTATATCTCTGCTATTATCTACAGTTCCATATAAAGCTATACCTCACTGGAAAGGGCAAAAGTTAGAATTCAGAAAACAAATATTTAGGTCTCAGGAAACCCATAATATTCCGCAAAAAAAATAATAAACAAGGCATATTTCTGCATAATTATTTAAAAAAATTTTTAAGAGTGAAATTTTGCCAAGAAAGTTGTCTACTTTGTGTAATACATTAGCAATATTTTTTTTCTTCTTTATCTAAGCAAACCGCCCAACTATCGGTCGAAAATATGGAGCGACTAGCAGTTTTCTACAAATTTATTTTACGACGCTGTCAGATTATGCAAAGGCCTGATCCCAATAAAATGTTTCGTTTCCCATCGCTCGCCCTGTCTCTTGTGATGGTGGGTCGGTCGGGCGGGCAAAAAAAAAAAAAAAAAAAAAAAAAAGAGAGAATGAACACTTGAAGGGGACTCGGTTCCAGAGAATGCCGGGATGCTAAGTAAGAAAGCCTGGTTACAAAGTCAACTCGAACCGTGGTCGTTTCGACTATTAAATGTCTAAGCTGCCTTTAAAAAACGTAGTATCGATGTTAATTAAAGACAAGGACATCACATCATATCAATTGTTGTTAATAAAACAAGATCGTGTGCTCGTACTTGCTTCTCTGACTAGTTTCTTTGACTACACTGTAGTTAATCTGGAATTTTTTTTTTTTACTTTTCGAGAAAAATGGGTCGGTCGGGCGATGGGGAACGAAACATTTTATTGGGATGGCCAAACAAGGTAAGGGCTATATAGTAGTGAAATAGAGACTTGAGAGTCAAACGCTTTAAAAACGCTTTATTTTTTAGTTTCTTGGCAAAATATCGAGTTAAAAACAAGCAAACATGAACTCACTCATAGAATTCATCAAAATAAGCAAGGATTTAAAGGCCAAAAGCTCAGCGTTTGAAAAGAATTTTGCGCTAGACATTGCCTACTCGGGGAATTGAAGGCAAAGATTCTTACCGCTTTCTTGCCTCGATTTTTTGCGTTTTTTTTTTTTTTTATCCTCCAGAATCCTTCAAAATAATGTCCTTGACTTCCATTAGGTTGAAATTCTTCTATACAAGCTTTCATTCTTTGCAAAAGCCGCCACAGTTACTTCCCCCATACAGACATTTCTCCTGAAAATCGTTGCGTAAAGCTCAAAACACGATGGGGGCTGGAACTAGGCACATAATTGGTTAAATCTATTACATGTAGCTTCCTTTGGGCCAAATTTGGAGGAGATCGGAAGTAATGTAATTTTTTGCGAATTTTTTTTCGACTTTTTCTTATCGAACATTTCTGTTCGAAGAAGGGTCCGAAGACAATGCTAATGTTTAAAACACTTGCTGTAAGTGATTTAAACAGCTTCAAAAACGTCCCTGGACTATTTCATCTCAATAGACAGGATTACTAAATAATACATTAAAATATGGCAAACAAAAGCAGCCAAAAATAAGCCGACACGAAAAGTTGTCCCGTAATGAGTATAAACACCTATGCCATATGTGACTATCCATTTTAGAGATCGGCGTGACGCAGTTTCGCTCTGTAGTGGAAATCGCGTGTGTGTGTGAACAGAATCCCTATCCGGTATGATTTTCGTGGCCGCCCAAAAGCTATCCAGTATAGTTTGACCATAGCTAGCCCAATATGTACAACCTTACCATCATTGCTAAAACTTCATTTCCACATACCGCAGCAATTACGTAGCTCAAAGAGGCAAAACTTGTGGTCACGTACAACAACCACAAAAAAGGAGAAAATGTCTTAAGTAATTAAAGTTAATAATTAAACTTGACTAACCTTATTTTGTCCCTTCTCCCTTATTTGAAGGGTCATTTCTCCCACAAGCTCCCTCTTGTTTTTGACTAGTCATCATTATGAAGTTACAATTAAGTGTTACCAAGAGAGAATAAAAGGACAAAGAGCGCCCAGTCACGCCCTTGATTGGTACCAAGTCCTATTATGGCTCTTGTTGGGACATGTGAATTGCACCAAAGTTATTTTTAGTCCAATTACACGCTTAAAATTAATCAGAATTTGGTGTCCGGAGAGTTCCGCAACTTTTATTCAGTGCCTGTAGTGTTTCAAGAGGAAACTCAACAGGCGCCATAACAATCTTCTGCATTTGCAATTGTTTGCTTTGAGGCAGTCGCACGGGCGACCTTGTTGATGGTGTTTCAGTGAATCAATGAAAATGTGCGGACGTCTCAGGAATTCCCTTTTGGTGTTAACGGGCATGAAGAGCAATAGCAACATTTTGTATTTGTCGACGTTTAAATAATACCAGAAGAGCTCTTCTGAACTCTGGCATTCTGATTGTGTAAATAATGGGATTAACAAGCGAGTTTGTGTGGTATAGAAGAGAAAAAGATAATTTCAAGCGTAAATATGTCCGGAAAGAAAACCTATCTAGAACAGAAAAAGAAACAAAAGTATATACAACATCTGGTAACCACAGCAACAAAGATACAAGGGTCATTATGGATAATGTGACAGTGAGTTTTCTTTGTCTATTGGCCGCACCATGGGACGGAGGTCGAGTTCCACACCAAGCTTTTAAAGCAATGGAGGTGTACGAAACACATATAACAATAAGGCAAAGGAAACAATATGATAACCTGAAGTACAAAGGAAATAACAATTGCCACTGTTGATGCAAGTTCCCATAGAGACTTATTAACGGCAAGGGAATTGCTATCATCGCAGTTAAAATCCAAACGCCCGCAATTGTTACCCCGTAGGTCCATTTTTTGATGTTGCGATGCCTGAATGGACGAAACGTTGCATGCATTCTCTCTAAAGAAATTACTGCAATACCTGCTACAGAGGTGAGAGGGATCCACGCCTCGGTCGTGGTAAGCACAACCATAATAGGTGGCAATTCCGACCTGATCAAAAATATATTTCCAACTTCGCAACCGTAGAGGAGGAAATGAAATACTGCAAAGAAAGCGGTACTTCCTCCAACAAACATATCAGCCACGGTCAAGTTTATAACCAAGTACATGGCACGAGTGCGAAGATTACTGTTCTTTATAAAAAGAACAATTGACAGGAGGTTCACTGCGACCACAGCAACAGTTATAGTAAGGGATGCAGCATACCATGTGCTGCACTCAGCTGAAGAGATCCTTCTGGAGCTCATTGTTTTCTTTTAATTCTCTTTTCTCCTCCCTTCAGAAAGAAATCGAATAAAGTTTGGTTAGTTGAAAAAAGGATGTTAATTAGAAGGTGGACTAAGAGGACTGAAGTCGACTCCTTATCAAGAATGGAGGTTGTACATTGACAACAATTCTTCAATAGAGTGCTCACCTTAACTTTAATTTCTTGATACTTTTGTTAACGCTGAAATAAACCCCTTGCTTTCACCTGTCGAAAGAAAGAAATTAAAAAACAGCGGTTGAGGAGAGAGTAAGACGAATAGGTTGACTGAAAACTGAGGACAAAAAGATATATTTTAATTTTAGCTGTTATTGTTGGCGCTCATTCAACTGCGAGTCACTAAGAAGTAATTAATCATCTGGTAGAAAGTTTATTGTCACTGGCAAGGGGGGAGAACTCAAGAAAGGTTTATACGGGAAGGCTCCGCCCCGAGGTCCAGCCACTTACCCTTTTGTATACCATTTAATTATGAGAGAAAAAGTACCCCTATCACATACCTAGTTTGGAACTTTGCATACATTTTTTTAAACTGCTATTCTGATCCAATATCCTTTAAACTATGAATAAATCACAAAACAAGAACCTTTTTTTTTCTTATTTTTTTTCACAGCTATCAAATGCATTTGTTAACCCTTCGGGACTCTTTTACAGACCGAAATGATAGATTTTCCTACTTTTTCATATACTTCAGCTAGTAAATTCCCAACTTCCGAATTATTGTACCTAGAAAATATCTTTGACTGAATATTAAAAAAGCCAATGATTGAAGAAACTTCACCTAAGCTTCTTTGGTATAAGAGGTCCGATAAAGAAGTTTGCTACTACAACCCTTCTGCCCACTTCAACGTGCAACGATTAACCAAGTTATTAACCGAACGGTAGGCCTGTTTTTCAGACGACCCATAGTGTAAACAAGATACAATTTTTTGGGGGAATTTTACCAAACCTTTTCAGAAAAATTGTCGCTGATATAAACTTGTTGTCAATATGAACTTCCGTTTTGATGACTCCAGTACCTAGAACGAACAAAATCTTTTATTACAGCCTCTCATCCTGTGCCGGGAACAAGGTAAGGGATGTGCGCGCTTTCATGTTCATCGCGGGTATCGCCATTATTTACGCCCTAACTATCTCAGGCGAGTGCTACCTGCGCTACCAATTATTCTTGCTAACAGCTGCTTTCTGTTAGCTTCCTGTAACCGTTTATAGGTTTGTAACCACAATTATTATTATTTTTTTTTTTATGTCAGTTTCCCGTTAAAGGATAGCGACTTTGAAGCAAACGAAACATATATTTTTCAAAACATGTGGTCAACATCCTTTGATATTTTGTTCCATTGCATATGTTTGGGTTGTTACTTGGTATTTTCTTACTTATCCTTTGTTGAACTTTTAAACGCTCAACGATCTAGTATTATTCAAAACCTAAAAAGATGAAGATATTTTTCAAATTTCTAGTTACAAAAGAACACACAAAATAATAACTGCTAAAGCGTCTTAAAACCTCTTTCTGCAAGGTATGGCGATTAAAACCGGCTGTACATTCTATCTTCTTAAAATCTTCTCTTTTGCAAGGTATGGCGAATCTAAGATTCTCTTTAAAAGATCGACAAATTCGGCGAGGTTTAACTTTTCGAGGGTGACTATTAGCAAGATGATTTCGCGATCATGCAAGGAGAGGAATTGCTTTAAAGGCTTATCGTTGTTTTTTCTCCGAAAAACTTAGCGCTTACCTTTCCAACAAATACTGAGCTGCTTAGTTGTCTTGAAGGATATCTTGAAGGAAGCAGAGAGCTGAAAATTTTTTGCTCAAGTTCGCAACGGATTCATTCCCTGGACTGACGTCAAGGGTTTCTTTGTTCAACGTAAACGTTTTGAATCATAAGGATAAACTTTCAGGGAAAATGGTTCAAATCAAGTTTCGTATGTACTCCCAATAAATGGTGTCCTTTCCTCAATTTCTCACCCTTTTAATAGCAAGAGTCAACGTGACGCTTGAGTTAATGTTCTAAACAGTTCTGACAGTTGCAGCCTTAATAGTCTATTAATTAGCCCTCTGTTTTTTTGAGTTAAGTTTAACTTCATGATTAAGTGGCCACCAATTAAGCGGCCAGTAATGAAAGTCCCAAAATAATTGTAAAATTATGTTCACAAGGTGCTTCGGACGATTTTTCGACCAGTTGAAATTTACGCGTTCAGGTTTTCTGTTCACACGGAACTACCTTAACCGTACAAAGAAATCAGACGTCTACCAGCTCAAAGTCCCGTATGAACGAAATGTCCGGTCAAATTTTTCAGCCGGTCGAAAATTTGTCCGGTAGAGTGTGGCCTCGATCCTCTGCAGGCATCACTCTTCTGTATTAATCGGGAAAGAAAGGGGAGTAGCAATTCCTCACTTTATTTCCTTCTTTTCTCTTTCGCAGACTCCTCACGGTCAGAGTAACCAAGCAAACCTAAAGTACATAGGGTGGGTTTCCGCTCACGCGTAAAATTATTTACGCGCGTAAATAAAATGGAGGCAATGTATTGAAGGTCGCGCGTAAACGTAAAAGTTAATTAAAGTAAACTAAAAAGCGTCGCCTCTTTCATCGGGAGAAATGGCTATTGTTCTTGCGACATTTAATTGCATTCGGTGAAAGCTTCTTGGTCTGTAACATCGGTTATTGTTATTCTCAAATGCTGAACAGGAGCCTTTTTCATTTGTTAGCATGAACGCGCGTCAGTACTCTTCATCGTGAAGTAGGCGGGTTAAACTAACAATAGCCGAATCTCTCTGTTGTTTTCCCTTTTGTGAGGCCAGATCACACCTTTACGCATTCTAAGTACTCCTTAACCAACTGTTAAGAGTTTTAGAGCGCTATTTTATAGATCCGGTCTTGGTCAGCGAACAGATAACTGACTTAAAGATGAGTCGAAAATTGTTGTTTCTTTTCGTCGCATTAGAGTTTTAACGAAGCTTTGACTGTCTATGAGTAAGACGGCACGTAAATTTTACCCGCGTTCGCAAGTAGATTGAAATTACGTGGCAGTAGAAAGCGATCCTAAAAGTTGTTCAACTGTTCTTGCATATTAGCTTACTGTGAATTTTAACCTTGAATTTGACATGTATTATCATACGAACTCGTGTACTGAGTACCTTTTTATGAAACTTTGCAAACTTCGTGTAAATACTAAAAAACTCAAATATTATTCGGAATAATTGCTAGTTCCTTTTTTCTTTTGTTCTAGCAAAAGGAAATATAAATTATTAACTGCTCTTTATTTAACAAATACTGAGAGGTCTTGACTGAGCTCTGTTCTGTTGCAAAAAGCCAAGTGATCAAACGCATTAACAAATGCTAAAAGCCATGCCAGAAAGAAATTTTTCTACCTAGTTCTTGAGTGCTTTACGTACAAAATTAAAGAGCACAGTCAAGGCTTCTTTATTGGTTTTATGATGAAGAATCGGTTTAATTCCCCACGTTTAACTTCTAATTTCCAAAACACAGGGTGACAGCTTACCTCTGTGTTTAATAGACTCATAAAGCACCTTCCCTTTTTCAACCAATCAGAGTGCGCGTTTTATCTGAACTTTATCATAATTGTTTATTACTAAAAAACGAAATTGCAGCAACCGTGAACGCACAGGTGTCAGTGAAACGGACCATTGGCAAGCTTATTACGGGCTTTCATTAACACGCCAAGCTCAAAAGTCAAGCCAATCAACTTAAGCGGACCATAGCAGGTGGACCAAGCCTAATATAAGAATCTGTATAGGAAATAAAGAGTTTGTTTGGGAAATAAAACTCAGATCAGAAGAATAAATTAAAAGCGAGTAGTTATTAAAGGATGCTTTCCACCTCAACTCAAACCCTATCATTTTCCCGCGTCTAATTTCCCTTCCTCGATAAACTCGTTCTGATTATTTTCATCTTATTTTAAACTTCGCTCCATCAGCTCACTCGCCTCGGTTCGCTCCAGTCGTTTCGCTATCGCTCACTCTTTCGCTTCCCTCGGCTTCACTCGCTGTCGCTCAGTTTAAAAATATTCCGTCAATAATCGAAGTCGCTTTATCTCAGAAGGGAAATTAGACGGGGAAAATGATAGGGTTTGATTTCATCTGGAAATCATCCTTTAATAACTACTCTATAAAGATTTAAAGATTATCCAAATAGAAAATAGTAATAAAAATGGATGTAGTAGAAGATATGTTCAAATTCTTAGAAGGGCAGGGTTGTACAATTGAATGTGGAGTTATTGAGAAATCTAGAAGAAAAAAGATGAGTGAAGCAATGAAAAAATTAAAAGAGATTAAAGATGAGAATAAGCTTGGGCTCGCAAAAAGATTAGCTAGGTATTATTTTATCTTTGATAATATGGGTGCTATAACAACAGCTCCTGAATTTCCTTTTGAAGAAGATAAGTATGGGTTGCATTATGTTCATGTTTGGTTACATGAAATGGTTGACGATGCAAAGAGACATATAGCTGATGTTATGAAAGCTATTGGGAATGATGAAGAATTAGATACTAAAACAAAAGAAAGAATATTCGAATATCTTTATGATGAAGAACAAATAGCTGAAATCAAAGAAGAAGAGAGGAAGAAAATAAAGAAATTTAAAGAGAATAAGAAATAATTTAAATATTTTGACTTGTTGTGAAACAGAAAAATATAATTTAAAGAATAAAAAATATATAATAAAATGGGATTTAAGTCAGCCACCAAGAGTAATGTTAAAAAATACGAAATTAATAATTTAATATTTTCTTCAAGGTTAGAATATTAAATTGTTGAAAGTATTGATAGAAATCTTAGATTTCTTTATTCACCATTCCCTCCTAATAGTTTGTGGCCAACAATAAACTATTCTCTAACAAGGGAAAATGTTGATAATTTTAATACTATACTTGATAGAGTTGAAGAACGGATTGATAGATTAAATGAAAGAGTTAAATTTGTAGAAACAGATGATTCAGCTTTTAATGAAGAGTTTCCTGGAATAATAGACTTTTTATATGAAGCAAGTGAATTATCTGAAAATAGTGAAAAACAGTTTGAAAAGAGATTTATTAAACTTGCGCAAAAGTTGTGGGATCTAGGCATTTGTCCTTTGGAATTTTAAGTCTTATATCAATATTTGTTATAAGACTTGGTACTATTGTGAAACAGAAAAAAAAACAAAACTTATTTAAAGAAATAATATTAAATAATTATATAACAAGATGACCACTGACTTAAGAAACCTTTCCACTGCTGAATTAAAAATTTTTAAAAGAGATAACCAACAAAAACTCAAGAAGGAGTATTCAAAATATAGGAAAAAACAAAAGTTGATTGCTGATATAAAGAAAATTAAAAAAAGCAAGAGAAAAATACAATCCTGAGCCCAAACCCAAACCCACTAAAATCAAAACATTTGAGGAGTATTTTCAGGAGTGTATCAAGAATAAAACAATTCCCCCTGAAACTCCTTCTTATCTTCGCAAAGCTCTTGAAAGAGCTCTTAAGGAATATGATCAAGGAATTATAAAAGAGAAATCAGCTCTAGATGAATTTGCTAACAAATACATAATCAAGGGGGAATCTGGTATTACTCCATATGAATTCTTTAGATCTAAATCCCCTTATTTAAAAGATTTTTTAAGAAATCATCGAAATATCAAAGTTAGATTTGTTTTAGTTTGAATGATGGAAAAAATGGATGGTAACCAAAAATTAAGTATTACAGTTCAGGATAAAGCATATTTTCACTCAGATACTCATATTAATCTTGAATCAACTGATGTAAAAGAAATACTTGCTAAAGTTATTCATACCATCCTTGAAAAGATTAGTATATATCAGCAAAATGGTAGTGGGTGGTATTTTAAAGAAGTTCTTCATTTTGAAATTTACACTGTTGTTTACAAACCAATTAGGGGTTCTTCTTATATTCCACTACCAGATTGGATTATGCTTAAGAAAGCAATTGTAAACGTTCGAAACACTGATGAAAAATGTTTTCTTTGGTGCGTACTTGCTATAGATATCTTCACCCAAGAGAGAAGAATGATATAAGAATAACAGATTTGAAACAGTATGAAAATGATCTTAATACTGAAGGAATTGTTTTTCCTATCAAAGTAAACATCACTAAATTTGAATCACTTAATCCATCATTACAGGAATAAACGTGTTTTCGGTTAATGAGAATAATATGTTTTATCCTTTAAGAACAGCCAAACGAGACCCGCAAAATACAATTGACCTGTTCCTTTACGAAGAGGATGGAAAATGCCATTATTCGCTTAGTAAAAACTTATCACGACTCTTCAGATCACAGATAACATCACGAACAAATGGTACAATTCATTTTTGTAAGAAATTTTTTACTCATTTCTCAAAAGGGGAATTATTCCAAAAACATATTGAATATTGTTCATCCAATGAAACAGTTGCTGTGAAAATGCCGCCAAGAAACTCAAAACTATGTTTTAATAATTACCACAAACAACTTCCAATTCCTTTTGTACTTTATGCCGATTTTGAATGTTTTACCAAACCGATGAGCACTTGCAGCTCCAATCCAGAGGATTCTTATAAATACAATTATCAGAAACATAAGCCATCAGGATTTTGTCTTTATATCAAAGGATTAGATCCTAAAATAACATTTAAACCAATTCTTTATACAAAAACCAACAGTACTGATGACATTTCTGCGATTTTTGTTTCTAAACTCGCAAAAGTAACAATATTCTTTCTCTATGTGGAAGACGAGCTCAGAGCAGTAGCCTTATCACCAATTAACCAACTGCTACTTCAGCCACGAACACTGAGATACACTTCACTGAAATAGAAATAACTGATTATGTAACTGAAAAGGAAGCAGCGTACTTACCACGGAGACTGCCAGGTACTGTTCTCTTTAACCATAGTTAATTGAGTGGAATGGTTATGAAACCCGTCAGACTCCTTTGTTATATGTTTTTGTGAACCTGAAAGTGCACAACGTTCAAAAGAATTCCTATCATTTTGATTGTATTGACCAATAAAAACGTTGCATTAATTTATTCCGTAACAATTTGCCAACAGAAAACAAAGGATTGTGCACTTTCACGGTGCTTTGAACATAAACTGCAGCACTGTTGTTTTTATCATTGATGTTTGCCGCTTTTCATAACCAGTCTCCTCTAATAACTATGCTTTAACGCAACCAGCGGCCAAATGAAAGTTATGCTGCTTTATAGCTCTAATCAATGGTCAATTTTCTGTACGAGTCATAGAACCGTGAAATCTCGACATTAGACACTTTTCCAGTCGTGAGGTAATGAACCGTTCACCCGCTAGATCATTCTTTCTGTTGACATTTGCATGAAGAAACGATCTTTGATCCTAGCGCACTTGTAAAATAGATTAAAGATAAGAAGGCTGTCTTTGCCAAATCATTGATATCGTATCAGAGGATTATAGTTTTTGTTTGATATTAGTCAAAAGTAAATCAACTGTGGTAAAGATTCAGTCCAGTTCAGAACATCAGGTTAAATTTTCAAAGCTACTCCCGGCGTAATGTTTAGCATTGGTCTTCCAGTGGAGACCGCAAAACAAGGATGGGCGGTTTGGGGTATTTTTAGAGTCGGGGGTATTCATTTTTAGTGCCTATTAAAAGCCATCTGTGCATAATTTAAAATAAAGCCACCGTTTGTGATTTTTTTTTCAAAAAACTGTTATCATTAAAACAGTTTGGAAATGAATTAACTGACAATGAATGGCAAGATTTAGAATTTTAGACCAGACGTCACATTCCCATGTTCAGTTTAGAAAAAGACACTGGAAATGGACCTGCATGACGCAGGTGTTTTGTAGGAATAAAATTCCTTCGTGGGAACAATCATATCGCTAAGCCGAAAAGTCCCAAGTACTTGTTTACAGAACGACTTGACATTTCATTGGCTTATTCTAGTTTTGGCTTTAAACTAGGGGTTTTTCCTACTCATATTTCCATATAAAAATCGGACGAACGACTTTTTTGAAAGTCCCTTGAAGCTGCTCTCCCGCTACAAAATCAATGTCCGTCCTCATGAAATATTGTAACACCCCATAGCTCCGCGAAATACATTACTAAATAACCATAAGAAAATAAAAGACTCACTTTGGTTGACGACTCGCACCAAAAGCACGTACCAAAAAATAGCACTCTAGCAGCAGCAAAATGACTTGCGATAGCAACTTGAATGATAGCGGGATAACTTGTAATTTCTAGTACTGCGTTGCCTCTTTTGTAATAGAGTATACGTGTATTATGCTTAGCGCGTTAACTAATTAAAACTGCATGTATACAGCTATTTCGAGAAAGGTTGTCAAGAAAAGTGCACGCGACAATCCTGAAAGGCATTGTGGGTGGTTTTGAGTTCTCTTTTATTCAAAGAAATTGGAAAGAATTGGAACGAAAGGCCATGGAAGTGTGGTTGCGAGTGCTAAAGGAAAGCAACAAAAGTAGGCTCGACAGCTACAGTCATCAGGAACAGTGTATTGATCATATCCCATATTACCTTTCGGGATTGGCGCGTGCACATTTTTTCCGACAACCTTTCTCGAAATAGCTGTAATTACCTTTACTTTTTACGTGTTTCCTAGCGGGAAGTACTGCCCCATGACGTAAGCGTGAAACCTACAAAATATTTCTAGAATGACTGATATAATCACTTTCTATAACCTAAAAATAAAACTGTCTTCAAGCAACTAAAAATATTATAAGACAAATGAACAAAAGAGCGTTACACACATACACTTTATTCACACAACATGGAACTGATCAGTATGAGCAATAACCACATGTATAAAACCTACACAGGGCTGTCCTAACAGCCAGGGGCCAGGGATTTCCCCCAGCTGTTATGAATGTTGCACAGAATGTTGCACTAGTTGCACAGGAAAACAAAAGAAAAATAGAACCAAAAGAAATCCCTAGCTGTTTGATTCTCCGCCTACTTGTTGTGTTTACCCGGCAACTTGAAATCGACCCGGTTCAAACGTCGAACTTTACATGTGCCGAACCTAATACCTTAGGAAATGTAGGTCGACCCAAACTATTAGCTGTGGTCACACTACATACTTTTACCTAGGTAAAACCGATTTACACGAGGAGCCGCAGGCGGTGATATTTTTGCACGGTATGTGGCGGCACATCAAAGAATTTGGAATTGAAGGGCAAATTACTAGAATATTTTCGCCAGTTAAGCTAGAGAAAAAGTGTTAAAAAAACCTCAGGATCCTAAACAACACGTCAATCAAAATATCACTTGGACCTTTTCGCTAATGAAGAGCTATCACGCGGCTAAGCTTGAATTAAACATATATTGAAATAGGAACTTGTGTCATTAAAGTATCAGAAGTGAGTGGGAATCGCTCCTGGTTAAAAAACTGATTCACAGGGATATGCATATTTTCTGGTTAAGAGAAAGGAATCAGAGCTGCTTTTTCATGCAGGAACAGGTTTTCTTCGGGCTAACTACAAAACTTCAGCTTATTGTACTCCTTGACATTGTCAAAGGGTATTTTGTAAAGATAACTTTTTCCGCTTTATCAGCTTTTTTTATATTCTATTCCATTAATGTTCAACCTCCCTCAAAAAGCCAAATAATATAAATGCTGTTGTTAAAAAAAACGTTTTACCTGTCTTCGTGAATTCGCTACCCAAAGATCACTATGCTCAAAGGACAGGGCAAAATTTCCAGGAAAAAGGCATTAATTTTTTTTTTTCCCCACGAGGTTACAAAGGGAAAATGCAATGATTATTATTAATGTAACCATCACGTATACTCTACCCACGAGGTTACGGACAGCAAATGCAGTGATTATAATTAACGTAACCATCAGGTATGTTCTACCCACGAAGTTACAAAGAGAAAGTGCAATGATTATTATTAACGTAACCTTCAGGTGTGTTCTACCCACGAGGTTACGGAGAGCAAATGCAGTGATAATTAATAAATGTAACCGTCAGGTATATTCTACCCACGAGGTTACCGAGAGCCAAATGCAGTGATTATTATTAATGTAACCATCAGGCATGTTCTACCCACGAGGTTACAAAGAGAAAGTGCAATGATTATTATTAACGTAACCATCAGGTATGTTCTACCCACGAGGTTACAGAGAGCAAATGCAGTGATTATTATTAATGTAACCATCAGGAATGTTCTACCCACGAGGTTACCGAGAGCAAATGCAGTGATTATTACAAGAAATACGTATCTCGCAATAACCCTCGCGAAATTCGGTTTGGTAACGTCACTCAAGTTAAGCGCTGTCGGTCGGGGTTACGAACTGGATGGGTGAGCAACCGCGAATATCGTCTTAAAGGTCTATAAGTTGTTCTTTCTTTTCTTCTTCTTTTTTGCGT